AGAGTCACTGAATACGTGTAAGTTTTGTACCTTCAACTCCTTAGCTAGGCGTAAACCAGCTAATAGAGCTTCATACTCCGCCTTATTGTTTGTGGTCTGGAACTCAAGTCTAATCGTTTGGGTTAAGAATGTTCCATTTTGAGTATTGATTACAACGCCAACCCCTGGCCCTGCTTGATTTGATGATCCATTAATGTAGAGGTACCATTGGTGCTTCGTGGGTCCATTAAACTCTTCATCAGGCTCATGGTCCAGCAAAAAATTTGCCATGGCTTACCTTTTGATCGCAGTGCGAGACTCATAGTTTATCTCGAAAGGGCTCAACTTGATCACCCACTTGGCGATCCTTTTGGAGGGGCTCGGTTTATGCAGAATTACCCTCAAGGGGTAACTAGTTAGCACCACTATTGGATGAGACTTAAAGTAGTGTCGTAACTTTGTTTTTGCGTTAACCAAAGCGAGGACAATTTTTTCCATTGTAAGGTATCTCCGTTCGGCATCCCCCATTGTCTTACTCATATAGAATACTGGTTTTTGTTTCCTGTTTTCTTCTCTTATTAATGCTGCGTTGTTCGCCACATTCTACCCAGCCAGATATAGGTACAATGTCTCATTCTGTTTCGGGGCAGAGAGGATCGTTGGTTTCTGCATATACTCTTTCAGGTTGGCTAGCGCCTTTTGCTGCTCAACCCCCCAAGTTTGCCTCCCTCTTGCCCTAATGGCATCAAAGAAGGGCTTGCATTTATCTGATAGGCGCAATATGAATCTACTTAATGCAGCTATTCTCCCTATCAGAACCTGTACATCTTTAAGAGACTTGGGCTTTTCGTTCTGTAGTGCTATGGCTTGGACTGGGCTAGCCTCAATGCCTCTGCAATTGACTATGTGGCCTAGAAACTAGCCTGAAGAAACCCCAAAAGAACATTTTGAAGGATTCAACCTTATGTCATACCTCCTTAGAGTATCAAACACATCTTGTAAGTCACGAAGATGATCTCGCTTCATCTTAATCTTTACTACCATATCATCAGATGTAGGCCTCCATTGTTTGGCCCATTTGGCTCTTAAATATTTTATTGATGAGGCATTGGTAAGCTGCCTCGACATTTTTCAATCCGAACGGCATGACTCGTAGGAGTATGTTCCTCGTTCTGTGATGAATAAGGTCCTCTCTTCATCTTCAGGGTCCATTGGGATCTGGTTATATCCTGAATATGCATCTAAAAATGCCAGATGTTCGAACCCAGTGGTGGCATCTACCATTTAGTCAATCTTTAAGAGGAGGTAGTTGTCTTTGGAACAAGCCTTATTTAGATTATTAAATCAATACACACTCTCCATTTGTCATTCTTCTTTTGAACTACCACTACGTTCAACAACCATTGTGGGTAGTACACTTCCCTTATGAACCCTGCCTCTAGTAGGCGGTCAACCTCCTCGGCTATGATCCAATTCCTCTCCAGGGCAAATCCTCTTTGCCTTTGACGAATAGGGCAAAAACCCGGGTCTATGTTAAGGTTGTGACATGCGACCTCGGGGCATGTCCAAGTGACTCCAGGAGAAGATATCTAAATTGGCATTGAGCAACTTTATCACTTCGGCCTTTTCTTCCTCGGACTGCAAGGATCCGATCCTAGCTACTCTATCTGGGTGGGTTGGGTCGATTTGGACTTCGTCTCCGTCTTTTCACTCAACTAGTCGTGACCGGACAGATGGGGCTGTAATTGTTATTTGTTGCTCTGTGTATGGGCAACGCCTTTCCCTCTGTCCTTAGGCCTAACGATCACTGCGTAACATTCCTTTGCTGCCATATGGTCTCCTCGGATGTCGATCACATTTCTTCTATTTGGACGAGACGTCACATTACCTGGTGCAGGGTGGATGGTACTCCTTGCATGCAGTGGATCCATCTCCTTCCCATCAGAAGGTTGTACGTTAGATTAACATCTACTATGACAAAATTTTCTTTCAGGTTCCTCCGGGCTGCCAGATGAGTGACTCTATCACCCCGATCAGTTCCACTCTTTTCCCATTGAACCCCATCAACGAATTCCCAGTAGGTTTAACCTGATGTGGGTCGATCATCAATTGCTCAAATGCCGATTTGGTGATTATGTTTGCACTGCTTCCTGGGTCTAATAATGAGGGGATCTTCATGTAGAGTTTGTACCCTTTGTAGATCGGACCTTCCAAACTTGATCTGGGTGTCCATCTTCTCAGCTTTTGTGCCTGTCTCAGGCGCGTTCTGAATAACTCTTCAGTTTCTTCATCTCCTTCGAGACACCCATGGATGGTGTTTATAATTCTGACGGGTTGAACTTCCTGAGGGTTTGTCTTGCCATGCACCCTTCCTTGGGCGTTCAGCTTCACCATTTGGGTAGGGTTGAACTGTCCCTTAGGCAACACAAAATTGGACAACTCTCCTTTCGCTATCATCATCTCCACTTGCCTTCTTAGATTTCTGCATTCGTTGGTTTGATGTTCAAAATCACAATGAAGGGCACAATGCTTGGATTGGTCTCGTTGTTCGATTGGTTATCTTATCGGCTACGGTGGTGAGAACTTGGCCTTGTTCTCTTGGTAGAGCTTCGCCAAGGAAGTCCTGAGCGGTGTGATAGTTTATTCTTCCCTCTGACGCTTAGGTGGCCTCCATGGGGCCTATGGCGCTTGACTCTGTAACTTCTGCCCTTTGATCTTGTCGTGCAAACGGCCCTCAATGGTGACCATGGTAGTCTAATGCACTCACATGGCTTCCTCATCTTCCATTTAAATGTAGCCTTGTGCTTTGGCACCCAAGTCTCCCATATTCTTAGGCGTCTTGCGTACCAATGCTCCATGAAAGAGGGTGCCAGGAATGAGAGCCAACTTAAAAGCTTCAACTGCTACTCTTTGATCGCATTCCTCGACCATACTCAACTTGAGGTTAAACCTGGTGAGGAAAGTCTGCAGCCTCTCTCCCTTGTGCTACTTCATGGTGAACAGGCTCGACACGTTCTTTTGAATCTGCTGATTGCCAAAATATTGCGCCATGAACACTTCACACAATTAGCGAAAACTTCCAATAGTTCCCTGCAGTAGCTGTTTAAACCACTTAAGAGTTGTCTTGGTTAGACTTGTTGGAAACACTTGGCACATTAGGGCGTCATCATCGTTGTGCAAGGCCATCTTTAGCTGGACATGGTAAACGTGATCCAGTGGGTCTGTTGAACCATCGAATGACATAAACGGTGGGATGATGAACTTCCTCGGCTTGGGTGCTTTCAGTATCTCTTTAGAAAAAGGCGAATCAACCATATCAGCGAAGGCCTTCGCAGCCATGTCAACTAGTGTTGGTGCATTTAGGTCCTTAAGTCGTTTGCCCACCTCCCGTTGAACTTGCGTTCGGATAGTTGCCTTTTATACTTCTTTGAACATCTGGTATGTGTCTGACTTCTGAGCAATCATTCTGCTGGTGCTATCCTGGTCAATTATTTGGTCTCTCAATTCCCTCGGCTGGGGGTCGTGGTGCACAAACCCAACGTAGTTATTTGGAGGGTCTGCCTCATTCATTACCGCCTGATCTACTAACGGTGATGGAGGATGAGGCTCCCCCTCAAGCTCCAATCGTGATCCAAACTCTGCATTCTCTCGACACAAAATCTCCGCGACGTTCGTGTTCTCCTTGCGCAAGGTCTGGATCAGTTGCTAGAGTACCTCTTGTTGATTGTTCCGGTTGACTTCCTAATATTGCGTTCCTTCTTCGCCTATCATTGTCCTGGAACGTAGCTGTATCATCAATTGGATCGAAAAACGATTGGAAAATCACTTGTCGAACTTCCCACAGACGGCGCCAGATGAAGATGCAAGAAAATGGTTCTCTATATTAAGAAATGATCTTCTTACACTTCAAATAGAATCCCCTCACATTCTCTCTTTTTTTCTTCCTTTTATAGAAGTCTACCTTTGCCCTAAAATCTGTTGTGGGCTTGGTTTCCCTTGGGCTGCTCTACCGCAAAGTCAGGCCCAATACCTAAAATGAGTGGGCTAGGCAATCACTGGGATTTCTTTCCAAATGGGTGGGCTGGGCCGGATCCGGCCCAATGGGATTTTATTCCCCCTCACTGTTAAACTCCCTTGATGCTAATAGTGATCAAAATGATAATTTGTTTCTTTTATTTTTCTTTTCATATTTTTATGTTTGAGACTACTCATTTGGATTTTTTTTTTCTTAATATAATTTTAAAGAATTAATTTGGATGGTGATGGGAATTATAATTTTTTTTTTTAAAAAAAATTCTTCTCTATTTTATACTTTGACTTTAGCGTGATTTTTTTTTTTTTTCATGTGAATTTTAAGAATTATTTTAGAATTTACTTGAATATTTAAGTGTACCTTATTGACAAAATAAAGTTCTAGCTCTTTTGATAATAAAAAATTACAAGATATCTACAACAAACTGTTGTAATTTAGAGAAAGATTTACAATATTTAGTAAATATCCTATAATAATTTCAATTGAATAAATTTTCTTTCGCTCAAAAGAAAGAAAAAAAAATAAAGAAAGTAAATAAGAAAAGAAAAGAAAAAATTTATAGTGAAAAAGGTAGAATATCCTTCCTTATTATATTATGTATTTTTTTTTTTTTAATTGTTTGAAAGAGTTATAGAATATTATTTTATTAAGTTTATGCACTTTGGAGGAGTTAACAATTGGGTAATTTTAGCAAGACCTTTTATTTTATTTTAATTTTAATTTTTGGAGAGTGATTGAAGTACTTTTGGTAAGTTTATTTACCATTCTTCATTGGCCACTATTAAAACATCAAATATTGCATCGTTTGTTACTCTTTTTTTTTTTTTTTCTACCACATACTTTTTTATGTTACCGCAGAGACTACAGCAAAAGCATTTACGGCAGAGGATTTGCTCCGTAGGAGAGAATGTCCTTTTTGATCTGCTGTTGAATGTATTTTGTATGGGTTTGTGATCGAAATGAAATTCATCCTTTCTTGCTTTAATATTATATATATATATATATATATATATATATAAATTAATTAATTAGTGTTACATGAAGGACCTGACTGATAATTGTTTTGTTCTGTGTTTATATTTTTATCCGAAATAGAAATAAAATTTTTGTTGTAAAGTGTATTCAATGATGATTGATTTTTGTTATGGACTCTATTTCAATAATGATTGAAAAGTAACGGAAAAATTAATACCCTGGTGATGAGCCTTTTTATTATGCAATCGTTGGACTCTAACTGTGATTTTACACCACAAAACTCAACGCAGCAGATGAAGATCGAATGTGCTATGGAAAATGACGATGAAATCTGGCTGTGAAGGAAGATTGCATCTAGTTACTGCTTTGAGGTGTGTGCTTTAACGACATCTCTTATTATTAATTAAAATTTAAAAAATAATTAAACTGTCGTTTATTGTATTTAAAGACTTGAATAACTTTATATTTTGATATGAAATGACAAAAATATCATTAAATGCCACTAAAATGCAAAGTATCGATTTTCATACCAATATTATATTATTTAATTTTATAAATATATAAATATATATATATATATGTTTTACTAATGACATTCGATTAAGTTTGTTGTTAAGGTTTAATCAGTTTTTCTAACCTTAAAAATAACAATTTTCGTATCTCTAATAAGCTTAAAAATTTGTAGAAACCAAGTCTGGATTTAAACCGGAGATGGATTACAAACACACACAAAACTCAACGCAGCAGAAGAAGAATATGCTATGGAAAATCTGGCTGTGAAGGAAGATTGCAGCTAGTTACTACTTTTTTTTTTAAAAGTGCTTTCTATCAGTGGTTTCTAGTATGAGTAATGCTTTCATCCGTGGCCTTCTAATATTTTGACACTCGTCCCCAACAAAAAATGATATTAATACGGGCAATGCCCATTTTTTTTTCGGGTTTAACATGTTTCTCCTTGACACTATCTAATCTCTACTGCCCAACAAACTCGTTTAGAACAAACAAATTTTGTATTTGTCAAAATATGAACAGCAAGAACACTCGTTCAACTTTCTCTCTCTAGCACCTCTTAATCTCTCTCATTGTTTCCATCTTCTCTAAGTTCGTGACTAGTTTTTAAAAAGATGGCAAGATTTTTGAATTGAGTAATCAAATTTAGATGATTCTAGGAAATTAAGAAATTTCTGACCTAAAGAAATGATTGAAAAATGCACAGCAGGAACACCGTGGTCACAACTCTCTCTCTCTCTCTCCTTGTTTCCTGCTTCTGGATCGACCTCCCCACAATCGGCCGCCGCCGCAGTGGCACCACCACCAAAGGGCGGCAGCATCACCACCACTGACGGCAGAGGTAGCAACACCATCCCCATTTCAATGCCCTAAATTACAGAACCCAAATCCTTCAAAACACTAGAAAATACCATCCCAACTCCCCCTCAATATCATCCGATTATTCCTCCTCCTCCTGCTGTCCCGCTGCCGTTGTCTTCCTCGCCGCCTCAATCTCAATCCCAATCCATAACTAACTCTATCGAAGAAGACCCAAATCAGTTCAAAGTCTTTGCTTGGTCATAAACGCATCTATAGTCTTTTACAATTCTTCAACCATCTTTTCTTTTCCTCGTAGATTTTCTTCCAAACACCCAAAACTCTTTCCTTTTAACCCTGTTTAAATTCAGCTAAAAACCCAGAAAAGATAAGGAGCAAAAATCTGATCTTTATATATATATATGATCATCATAGTTTAGAATTACTGGTTTCTAGAGAAAAAGACGTTGGATTTGATTTTTGATCGTCTGACCTGGTTCATTTTCTTTCAGTCAGTTGAGAGAAAAAAGATAATGGGTGCTAAGCTTGGAGCTTTGGTGTGTGTTTGGTTTGTTTTATTGTGGGTAGATTTGTGGTGGAGAAGAACAGCTGAATCAGGTTACTTCACCTGACTGGCTGAAAGATGAACTTCATCCTCCTGCCAGTATGCAAGCATTACTATTCTATTATTGCCTCTCCTTTTATAGCTTTCAACTTTTCTGACTAAAACTTTCATTTTCTCAACTTTTCTGACTAAAACTTTCATTTTCTCACACTGCTGGATGAATAGTGTCGTCTTTCAACTTTTTCTAGTGGTTCACAACGCGCACACAGGCATGCACGCTCACACCATCCCGTTTTGAGTGAATTCAAATTATACAGCGTTACTATTATTAAATTAAATAAGAGTATAAAAAACATTTCATATTTTTTAATAATGTCAAAAGTAATATTGTTCTATCCAAATATAATTTGTTTAAACTTAAATAGAAGTCGTTGTAAAAAAGGAATGGTTTAAATAGGTTCACCGTTCAATAGTCCTCTAGATATAAAACTTCAATACATTAAATACTACACCATTGACATTCATGAGAAAACAGGCTCTGTACCATGCTAGCACCCATTGGACAATGTATGAACGTGCATTTGTTTATTTTACCTTCTGAAAAAATATAATAAAATGGATAACCTTTTAAACTGTGTATTAAATACTACTACTATGTGATATTTATATTCAAAGTAATGTGTCCATCTATGTTTAGGAATCAATATATTAAAATAGTGAGTATCAAAGTTTAGAAGTGCGCAATTACTTTTTCAGGTTGAAATCTTTTTTACGTGAAAATAAATAACAATACTATCTCCAAGATTTAACTAAGTCTATATCTCAAATCTGTATATTTATGAATGTTGTACTTATTTATCTCAGTTTAATCAATTGAAAATATGAAATCCACACACTCAAATTCAATAGTTTGAAAAAACACTTTAAATCTCCTCTCTCTTGAGTTTTGAGAGTGTGTCTGTGTGTAAGCTTCGTAAGTCTACTATTTATACTAATATATTTAGAAGACATTAGATAAGTATTTAATAAAACTTTAAACTTAACTCATAAAAAACATATTAATATAGTAGATTAAATGAATAAAGTGAAGAACTTTAAATTTAAGGTTTGTAAAATTAATACTTTATCTTCATAAATATAGAGTTGCTATATTAATTTGAAAGGTAACTTCAACATAAGAGAGTTTCAATAAAAAAAAATTTTAAAAATGAAATATTGGAAATGATTGTACAACAATATTAGGCTGATGAATGAAGCAATGTTTTTGATAAGTCCAATTAATCAAATTTTGATTATTTTTCAATTTTACTTCATGATACTATATTACTAATACCATACTCAACGAACGCATAATAATCTAAATAAAAATGATTTATTATTATTATTAATTGAAAGTAAACTTTGAGATCATTATTTCTTTTTAAAGTTTTTAATCCTAACAGTACGCTTGTAAAAAAGAAAAAATAGACCGTTAGTAAATTTTTCTAAATTAAAAGAAATTATAAATTCTTACAAAAAAAAATTTGAAAAAAATTAAATATTGAGAATGGCAATAAGATAATACTCCGTATACTGCTAATGAATGAAGTACCGATCGGTTCAATTAATAAAATTTTGATTGTTTATTTCAATTTTACATCATCATTTATGTTTCATAAATCTAATAAAAAATAGTAAAGGTGGTTTTGAAAAAGGGCAAAGTACAGAAAACCCCATTTACTTGTACCATTTTTCAATAAATTTCTCTTATCTATTTTTTTACCAAAAAATTCCCTCAACTTGTAGCCTTTTTTTTTCAATAAATCCCCCTTTATCTATTTTTTTACAAAAGAATTGTCCTCAACTATCCGAAGGGTGTAAAACAGTAAAAGAGTTGATATTTAGACCAAAATGCCCCCTTTTATTTAAATCTTAATTCTCCCGAACTTAAAAAATTAATATATTACAAACCGTGCATTTAGAAATATATATATATAAAAAAATCATCTAATAAATTGATAAGAAAATGTTAAAAGATTAAAAAAATAATAAAATAACTAGTTAAAAAAGATCATTTAAAATTTTTTATTTAAATTTTTTTTTGGTGCTATTCATTAAGGGGCCTATTTGGATTGACTTTTCATACCGCTGTTTTTGGTTTTTAAGGCTTGGAAACTGCTTTGGGTAGTACTGTATTTGGCTAGTTTTCAAAAAGAGCATTTGGGGGTTTAGAAGAGCATTTTGGAGAAGCTGGCCTTCTAAAATACTAGGGAAGAGTTTTGGGTGCATTAATAAAACTTTTTATATGACAAGTGTACCCTTTATACTATCTCATAAAAAAATATAATTTCAACTGTATCCCTGTAGTAAAAAAAAAAAAAAAAAAAAAAAAAAAAAAAAATCCCCTTATTTCTATTTCCAAACCCTAATCAGAATGGATTACCATCTTCTGCAAGGCCTCTTCGCCTGCATCTGCTGTCGCTTGCACTTTTTCTTTTTGTGTCTCTCTTTATGGTAGAAGACCAGGCCTCTCTTTAATGTTTAAGAAATCTACAACTTATCATTATAGATGCAATTTATCGAGTCGCAATTTGAGAGTGAGAAGACAAGATGAACAGAGGTGATAGAGGGGAAGGTTTCAAACTTTTTGCATGTGTCAAAAAAAAAAAACTCACATAGGTATTCTCTGGCAATATATCTCTTCATACTCACAAGAACGATCCATCAAACATTTAACTAGAGAAAAAAAAAATTGAAGAAAAAAATTGAAAAAGATTATTGTTGGGGGCTATTCTTTCTTTATTGTTCAAGTTCTAATAACTCATTAAATTGCAGAATTCTAAGCGTCCCACTAAACAAGAGAAGCAGGGCTATACTTCCAATTTATAATTCGACCTTCCTATTTCTTCTTTGCCTATTTCTTCATGTTTATTTACTTTTTATTTTCTCTAAATATTTTCGAAACTGCCCCACAAACAATCACCATATTTCAACGTGCCATCCTACCATCACAAATCTTTAAATCTTTTTTTTCACATTCAAATTGAATTCTCTTTTGTTGCAACAATGAATTCTAGTTATTTATCCAAAAGATAAAGTTTTTTTTTATCAGATTAATTCACGGGCATAGCATTTTTTTTTAATCAGATTAATTCATCTGCATAGCTCTTCCCTGTATTGCCTAACAGCCTAATATTTGTTTCATCATCAACCCCATAGGAACGTCAAAGTTGTTTTTTTTTTTTTTGTTTTTTTTTTTGGGTAAAATTGGAACATTAAAGTTGCCAAGTCAATCTTTTAAAAAAACAAATAATTTACCATAGCAATATTTTTGCTTCTTCTTTTTCATTAATTTCCTTGCAATATAATTTTGTTTGTTATTATAAGGAAACAACAATATTATTCTAGGAATGTCTAAAAGCATGAGATTAATTATTTTCTTTTTTGAAGAAAAAATAAAAACCTTCAATATTTTATTATTCTTATTATTATATTTTAGTAGAATCAAAATGTTCAATGACAAAATTTTCTAAACCATTAAATAGGTTTTTGCAATCTCTTAATTGTTATTCTTATTGTAATTATTAGTATTATTAATTATAATGTTGTATATGGCATGTTGTGGATATACTTGATTCTATTGAGTGGTTTATTTATACGAATTTAGAGAAAAAGTTACAAAAAAACAGGTTAAATGATAATTTTAAAAAATACTTTATCTAAGGGCAAATTAATTATTTCAATAATAAAAGATCTTCCGTAAATATTTTGCCAAATAGATTGAAAAGCTTTTCTATCATTAAAAGCTATTCTAAAATTTAGAGAAAGATTTAGAAACAGAGATAGATCAGAAACACACATAAAACTCAAAGCAGCAGATGAAGATCAAATATGCTATGGAAAATGATGATGAAATCTAGCCGGTGATGGAAGATTGCATCTAGGGACTACTATCACCGGAAGATTGCATCAAGGGACTACTTTTTTTAAAGTGCTTTCTATCATTTAATTGCCAACACCTTTCTCTCTCTTTTTCTAACTTTTTCTAAAGTGCTTTCCATTATTGCCCCTCTTCCTTTTATCTCTTTCAACTTTTCTGACTAAAACTTTCATTTTCTCACTCTACTGGATGACAATCATGCCAACCCACCGAAAACTACCAGTAGTGTTATACCACTCAATGATGATCAATTTTCATATTTGGAACATGTTGCCGATCGATGTGGTCCATGGTTTGAGAAAATCATTCTGGTTGCTTGAATACAACAGAAACCAACCATGAAAGAGGTTCTTGAACAAGAAACTCCAAGGATACCTAATCAAAGGTATATTCAAACAGTATTGGTACTGGATTCTCAAGATGAGCAATGGATGCCAGATCCTTGGGAAGTAAAATCCAGATATTTCCAAACTCAACAATATGTTGCACCGGATGGTCGCTATAGATATATCTATGAAGCCATTCTTACTGAAACTTCCTCTGTGGAGATCAACCACACGAAGCAATTTCCGAATTCCAAAGATAGTCCTCTTACTTATAGTAAAGCTATCTTTAAGAGGCTTATACAGCCTAGTGACTGGGGATTAAATCCCAATTTGCCAAGGAAAATATCCTATGGTCACAGTTACAATAATTGGGATTATATCTCAGCTTGGACATATTCGTTCTTTTATCAAAATCCGAAGCATAAACATTCTTGGTTCTTCAAGATATGCCCTCAATCAGTTAAGGCTGATTTCCCAAACTGGGTTATACCCTGGTGGGCTATATTTGGCCCTGATTTGGAACATGTTGCCGATCCTCAACTTTATTTGGTATCAGAGCCATGATGGCTTAATTTATTATTGTTAATGCTTTTTAGGTTCTGGTAGCATGATTACTATAGTAATTATGTCATGAACAATATGAATATTATTCTGTCTAACTTATGTTTAAATCTGATTCAATTATGGGTCGTCCAAAAGTCGCGTTGGAATGTTTAACCCGTTTTTGCATTAGATTGCTGCACAGGGTACTGTTTCCAGTAAATCGTTGACAGACGAGTAATTGAATCACCCTTAAGCAGAACGACGACAGAATAGTAACTTACTGTTCATTATATAATATTATAATATTTATACTAAGCAGACCTTAAAGCATTAACAATATTTAACAGACATGTTAAAACCATCCTCCTCCTCTTATGGAGTACAGGAAAACCAGGATTCCGAATTGGTAAAAAATACTGAATTAGTGGAATGGACCAATGTTCAAAATAAATTGAACAGATGGACTATCCCTCCAGTAAGTGCTAAGAGCATTTACAAAATCGGAATGCTTAATTTAACAGATCTATGGACTGTCAAGACCATGGAACAGACCATGCAATTAAGCACAAAAGATACAATAATTAAGTTATTGTCTTTCTGTGACCTTCAGAGGCACATGCACAAATATAAGTACATCCATATAGGTTTAATTCAAATTGCTTTTAAACCTTTAACCTTATTAGGTATGGATGCTTGTATTCAAGCAACCCTTAGGGATGCTCGATGTCTGAAATTTCACCCTTCCTTGATGGGTGCACTGGAAACCAGTCTATGTCATGGACCGGTTTATTTTAATGTCTATCCTAGTCTGAATTTATCTTTAACAGATAAAAACATCCATGAGGCAATTAGTCTTCGTGTTCAGACCTATGGGTATGATTACTTACCTGGATCAGAAGTGATAAGTGTTATTTATCGCATCCATTACAAAGTACTTGATACTAAGTGTCCTAATGCCATACGCAAAGACTCTAAAGGAGTAACAGCGTTATGGGATACCAACATGTACACATCAAATGTTGCCACAAAAAGGATGATTCCTTGGAGTGAGATAACATTTCCTGAACATTGGACGATTTCTAATGCCATTCCAGCACAGCCAATTGCTAATCATAGCTTAGACTGTGTTATTCAGGACCAAGATGGCGATGTTTTTCTGAATTTCAGAAAATCATTAGATCTACCTAGATCTACATCATCTAAAGGAAGTCATCTTCCTTATCATGTTTCTTGTCCTCCTTCTCGCCATTCGATTTCGTCGGATTACAGAAAGGAAGAAATCCCTGAAGTCGTTGGTCCAAATCAACTCAAGCTGAAAGGAATACAGCAGTCTCAGAATCAAATTCCAAGAGGAGTCTACGAGAAAGCACCAATAGGTATGTCTCGTCGTCAATTTGGAATTAAATTCAGCCCAACTCCATCTGAAATGGGAATCGGAAATGAATCTGTCAAGGATCAATTTGACGATCCTACAGACATCAATGACCCTCATGAATATTAGTTTTAATGGATTTTTCCCCAGATAGAATGGCCATTAATACTGAATTTCAACAGGATCAATATAAAGAATTCAGAAATTGGTATTTTAAAACTTTTGATCAACATCAACTACAGCTTTTTAAAACTCAATTTTATGACTTTCTCCAAGAACGCAAAATGGTTATACCTTTTGTTTCTTGGTTTTATATGACCAATCATTCTCTTGTTAACATAAACATATTGGATGATTTTCTCAAACCATGGACCACATCTGAAGATAAGGTTTTTCACTCTGTCCATCCTCCCACTGAACATCTAATTCTAAAAAGGATTGACCGTGACAGTGGTTCCAAAGTGGAAACCAAGGCTTATAGCCAACCTAGAATAATTGATCCATCCTGTAATGCTACTAAAAAGGACATTTCTCATGTTTACAGGCAGAACAATTATACTAATGTTTGTTTGCAAACGATAGGGTCCCAGCTTGGGAGAATTGAAACAGGAATAGACACGGTATTAAATACAATTAATACTAAGTGCATTCCTACTAAACCTTCTCCTCCAGAAGCTTCCTTATCCAAGGCGTTGGTGAAACCTGCAATTGAAGTTCAAGGCCTCAATCTGACACATCCTAAGAAGAATGAAGAATTTCTTACTCTTCTTACTCAGAAAATTCAAGGACTTAAAATTCAGACTTTATCCCATGATGAATCTGAAATTGGTTCTGATTCTGAAAATGTGTTACCTCATATTGAGGTATTCCAAAATGATTTTACTCAGATGCCTGAGTTAAATAGAATTGTTTATGATAAGAATATCCACTCTAATACAGCCCCTGCTCCGAGTAGATATTATTATCCCAGACCCACACCTCAAGATATCTTGTATGAAGAAGATTATTTTCATACACAGAAATCTTTTCATGGCAAAACCATTTATGAATGGAACATAGATGGGAAATCTGATTATCAGATTTATGAGGTTATACATCAAATGTTGATGTATAGCCAAGTTTGTAAAATCAACAACAACACTGACCCAACCATTGCTAAGTTTGTCGTTGCTGGTTTTACAGGAATCCTTAAAGGATGGTGGGATAATGTTCTCACTGAAGTTCAGAAAGCTGAAATCTTTTCTGCTACCAAGCTTGTTAAAGATGAAGCTACTCAACAAGCAGGACCTGCTCTTGATGCGGTTTACACTTTCATCACCACTATTATCCAACATTTTGTTGGCCCTGAAGGTGCTAATAGTGAAAGGAGTCGTGAACTTCTACAGAATCTAAGATGTCCATCTTTAACTCATTTTCGGTGGTATAAAGATGTATTCTTGGCAAAGGTTCTCCAACTCATGATGAATCATAATTAATCATAATTATGATTAATAACTACTAATAACTATGATTAATAATAAGAAATGTAAAGAAATGTAAAGACTTACAGAAAACTTTCTTTATTGAACTTCCAAGTTAGTACAGAGAAATATTACAAAAGAGAGAAAAGGAAATTGAAAGATACATTGAAGGGAAACATTGCCCTCTATTTATACATAGAAATGGACTTGAAATTAACATTTTGAAGTCCGCATAGTGCATGGGATCGTGTGCTAGAATAATGCAGTCGGTCGGCCCGCCACTAAGTTCTGTGCCCTTATCGGATGGAAAGTAGACATCTGATGAAGGAAATACTGTAGAACCAAAGACTTTTGGGAAAAGTTTGTTGGCTTCTTCTGTCGGCAGGATAAGAGGAATCTTTACTTTTTAGGTGGATTCATCTTTTCCATCAAGTGACTGGTGAGAGAGTCCCAATAGTCGGCTACTGTAGGCTCATCTTCAGAAATAAGATCTTCATTGGGATCTTAAGCATAACTAGCGAGATAGGAAAACTGATTACCTTCTTGACTGGTCTGGCTAGAGACTGACACCATGGATGCATCATCTCGTACTGTAGGTGTGGAGGAATCAAAAGATTTAACAAATTTGGTCCTCATAAAATCCATGCATTTAACCATTAAATCAGCTTCGGTAATTAATGGTTGTTGTTTTCTGATCATATCTTTAACAAGTTCAAATGGGTTAAAGATTTCGGGTTCTGGAATAGTTAACTTTGGAATCTTATCCATGTATTCCAGTGTTTTTTTTCTGATCTGATGGAGGAGGGCTTGGATAGGAGCTTGAGTCATGCCTGACCACCATCGGTAATAAAAGATCCTCTGAAGGACTGGTAACTTATCAGTGGTATAACCACATTGGAAATCCCATTTCCAAATCTAAGGGATTCCAAATTCAGTAAAGAACAATAGGGTGGATTTCCCTACAGGAATATTATCCTGTCCCCGTAATTGAGGATGAAATTGTTGCCATGGCAAGTATAATTAGCTGATTGATTCGGGCAACATATCCAGATCAGGGCCAAATATAGCCCACCAGGGTATAACCCAGTTTGGGAAATCAGCCTTAACTGATTGAGGGCATATCTTGAAGAACCAAGAATGCTTATGCTTCGGATTTTGATAAAAGAACGAATATGTCCAAGCTGAGATATAATCCCAATAATTGTAACTGTGACCATAGGATATTTTCCTTGGCAAATTGGGATTTAATCCCCAGTCACTAGGCCGTATAAGCCTCTTAAAGATAGCTTTACTATAAGTAAGAGGACTATCTTTGGAATTCAGAAATTGCTTCGTGTGGTTGATCTCCACAGAGGAAGTTTCAGTAAGAATGGCTTCATAGATATATCTATGGCGACGATCCGGTGCAGCATATTGTTGAGTTTGAAAATATCTGAATTTTACTTCCCAAGGATCTGGCATCCATTGCTCATCTTGAGAATCCAGTACCAATACTGTTTGAATATACCTTTGATTAGGTATCCATGGAGTTTCTTGTTCAAGAACCTCTTTCATGGTTGGTTTCTGTTGTTTTTGTTGTGTACTGCTACTTCCTTTAGAAGGTGTGTTGAGCAGATCGGCAACATGTTCCAAATATGGAAATTGATCATCATTGAGTGGTATACCACTCAGGCCTTAGCCTTGTTTTTGCCACGAGCCTTTGGAGTATTACCCCGGCCCTGCCCATGAGGGGGCGGATTCATGAACCCTGCAAAAATTCACGAGTTAGAAAATCGGGTAAAGAATTAGAACTGCCTTTAATATATTCAATAGAAAAATCAAAAGCAGATAAATCAGCTTGCCAACCAGCAAATATCTGTTTGGAGACTAAATTTTTTACATCTTTTTCCAGTACTTGTTTAGCAGCACTACAATCAATGCGTAACAAGAATTTCTGATTGATTAAATCATCTTGAAATTTATAAATGCATTTAACCAAAGAAAGAATTTCCTTTTTGATGGTTGAATAATTTAATTGTGCATTTTTCCAAGTTCCTGAAGTGAAGCGAACAAGTTCCTCGGTTCCTGTATTTGGATTCTTCTGTTTAAGAATACCACCATATCCAATATTGGATGCATCTGTTTCCATAATTTTGAACCATGAAGAATTGGCTAGAGCTAAGCAAGGAATTTGTTTTGCTCTGAGTTTAATCTTCTGGACTGCCTTGGTGTGTTCCAAAGTCCATGGGGAAGGAGATTTCCTTAACCTGGTGTACAAAATTGCTGTATCCTGAGCAAGATCTCTGTAGTGATTTCGAATATAATTCAAACTACCCAGAAACCTTTGAAGCTGAGTTTTATCCTTAATTTCATCTGGAAATTTAGAAGCAAACTCAATACTGCGATTAATAGGTCGAATTTTTCCATCACAAATGTCATGACCAAGAAATCGGACCTTAGTTAAAAACAGTTTTAGTTTAGGAGCAGAAACTACTAAACCACTTCGGTAAATAACATCTTTGAAAATTTTCAAGTGTTTATAATGCTAATCGATTGATTTGGAAAATATGATAATATCATCAATATAAACTATAGAAAATTCAGTAAAAGGATTAAATATGTCATTCAAAATATGTTGAAATTCTGAAGGGGCATTTTTTAATCCAAATGGCATCACTGTCCATTCATACTGTCCAAAAGGTACGCAAAAAGCTGTTTTGTACCTGTCCTCTTCTGCAATCTGTACCTGGTAATATCCAGATTTAAGATCAAATTTAGAAAAGATTACAGCAGATTGTAACCTATCTAAAAGATCTTTGATGTTGGGAATTGGGTATCTGATCCAACTCAAAGCAAGATTGAGTGGTCGATAATCAATAACCAATCAAGGAATTCCTCGTTCTTTTTCAGCATTTTTATTGACATAAAAAGCTTTGCAACTCCAGGGGGAGTAGCTAGTAGTGACAAGCTTTTTTTTCATTAAAGAGCTGATTTCAGTTTTACATAATTCCAAGTAATCAGCTTTCATGTGGCTGGGACTAGCTTTCGAAGGAATCATGCGATCGGTAAATCCCTTTTCATAGGGTAAAGAAACAATATGCTTCTTTCTGGCCCAAAAAGCATTAGGAATTTCACTACAGATTTCCTTTAGAAAGTTTTGTCGTAGTGATTCAATTTTCTGTTGCTCAGTGGGTTGTACCAATCTTTGATTAATTGCTAAGGAGGATACCTCCTTTTGCAAATAATTCAGTTGCTTTTCCTTAAAGATAATGTTATCTTTAAGAGCATTGATATGCTTATTTACTGGTGGGGTCAAGAACTGGAAAGTAATTGACTGACCATGTAAATTAGAGCATATGCCATGAGAATCAATTTTCTCAATTGGCATGATTAAAGCTAAAAAGGGAGTACCCAAAATAACTTGTTGTGCCATATTTCGGATGAGTAAGAAAGTAGATGGTAGACAAATACCTTCTTTACAAATGAAAACATGATTAAGTTTATACTTAATCTGCATCTTACCTCCACTTGCACTGGTAAGACCTTGAGTGGTTTTCTCAAAATATTGAGTAGGAACCAATCCTTCCTGTATGCAGTTCATGTCTGCACCACTATCAACTAAGGCAATTGCATTAGTGATTGTGTACTCCTGATTAATTACCAAATTGATAGATATATACCATTTTTGGTAAGTAACTTGATTCAAGAGTTGAAGATAATTAGTACTTTCTGATTGAGGGACTTCATCCTGGGATGATGAAGGTGTAATTGCAGATTTTGCTTTTAA